ATGTAGGTACTTAGGGTCATGCAGGATTTTTTTCGTATCCACGGTAGTAGTTGTATAACAACTTGGGTGCACATATCCCAAAGGGTCTATGTAGGTATATGGGATATACTTGGGCCTTAAAGTAGGTATATGGGAACCCCTTTGGGCCCTAAGTATATACCATATACCTACATGGACCCTTTGGGTATGTGATTATTAAGTACCTCCTTGCTGTTTTGAACTTGTTCTGAGGGCTCGTAGTTTACCCTCAACCCGAACTCCTGGAAGATGCTCTTTTGGGGTCCTTTCACGATAGCAAAAGCCTAGTAGTCTGAAGGACTCGCTTATCTTGAGGTAGCTTGGATCCAGACAAAATTCAATTGAAGAGAAAGACCGTGCAAAGGCCCCTGTCCCCTGAACTAATCCAAATTCCAATGTCCAAGGATGTCTAACCCCGTACTGAACAAACACCTGAGCAAGTGCAATTTTGGGGCGCACACTGAGAGTTAAGTACCGTTACTGTTGATGGACAAAAGCCTGCATGACCTGAAGCATGCCACAGCGCCACGATTCCCAGAATCTATGTATATGGGGTCATGCAGGGTTTCATCCATCCACCTAAACCCTAAACCCTAAACCTCCAGTGACTAGTGTGATCCCCATCTTCAGACTGCGAGCGAAGCTTGAAGATTCCCAGCCTGAACCACAAATCCTGATATGGTCCCCGTTAAGTAAATAGAAAGTAGGTTTAGGGTTTGGGGCTGAAGGTTTAGGGTATAGTCCTCCTCAAGCAGATAGAACATGGGAACCTATAGAGATCGCAGTTCCATGTTCTATCTACTTGCCGAGGACTAGACACTGTTCCATTAGCTCCGCCTTCTTCACGTCCTCCATGGTAATGCCGTAGTTGGCAAGGATTTGCTTCTGCTGGGCCTATGCTTGACATCACTTGTGCCCAATTTGTGTAGTGATCTACTTGGCCCGCCGCTCAAAGGCTCTATGCTTTGGGGCTAAAAGCTTGCAGACGATCATCGTCAGGAACCATTTCAGCAGCTGACTTTTTGTTAACGCGTAATCCCGAGATATTAGTCCTTGCCATGCCCCTGTTACAACGACTCCTGCGAACATTTGCTCATTATTTGTGAAGCCTTCCCTAGCCTTCGCAACGAGCTATAGGTCTAAGAGACAGCGCACTCACAAGACCCGCCACACAAATACTCTCCTTGCGTCTGTGACACACTTGCCAGTCATGCCCAAGGTTTGGGGATTCTTTCGATTCTCACACTCTGGCATCACACCACCCTAAACCTACACCCTAAACACTAAACACTATGACCTAGACACCAGTGCATGATGGTCATTTTTTCCCCCTTCAGTCCTTCATGGAAGCTCTTATGCACTTCAGAGCCCTGAGACAGATCCGCAAACTGAAGTCCTAAAATGGGTTGCCGCTAAAGAACTTGCATTAATTACTACTATAAGGAAACCGTATTGTCAGAATGTACCCGTACTATGCTTAGCTGCTTAGCTGGTGCTGCCAGGACTCCGGAAAACTGAGCCCAGGGCAAGGAAAACAAATTTGATGGGAGACCTTTTGCCTTTCCCTAGAAGCCCAGTTGCCTATATATTGGGTTCCTGTCCTTAAGTCCCTATATAATTTTTATACGATTTGTAGCCCAAGGACCTACTATATGGGTACCTGGGCTTCTAGGGTTTACCTAGCCCAGACTCTCTGGGGAAGAAACCTGAAACGAAGAGAAGTTTAACTAGGGCAAATCGGCTCGGAAGTCGACAGAAAAGGGAAAGGGCCGGGACGGGCTCGGAAGAAAAACTACGAGGAAGAGAAAAGGATCTTGCTTAGGAGGACCCCGCACCCTGTAGTCGCGGTATAATAGGAATATAAGAGGACCCTAATATAATCCCTATTATGCCTTATAGTCACTATTACTGGGTGGGGGGTCCACCTAAGATCTTGCGTTAAAGGTTTAGGGTTTAGGGCAACACGTACCGATAAACATATGGTAGTTTCCCAAAATAGTGGGACCCAAATACAAAGCCTCATACACTAGAATCCTTGTTGTAGGCATCCGCCAGAAGGTACCCCTAACTTTTGGGAAGCCCCCATATGAACTACAGTCATTGCTTCTCTTACAATTTGAGGGCATAGATTTCTCCTAAGGACTATACCCTGCTAAAGGACCACTATCTCCACCCCTTAGTGATTCCTTGGTAACCCTAGTATTGACAGTAGCTCATATAAAGGATCTTTAAGGTGGACCCAGTTTTCCTCTGAAGGCAAACCCAAACCCCCTAAAGGATCCCAAACCGTGGAACCGCCCTATGATCCCTAGGCTTCCCAATGTAGTAGTGGGATCTTTCTTTTGCGGGGCTCATTTTTTAAAGTTTAGTTAGGGTTTGGGGTTTAGGGTCTGGGAAGTGGTTTGCCCAGGCGCCGTCCAGACATCTGGGATAAGCTCGAGTGCTTCCTGAGTTGGCTTGGTTTGGGGTTTGGCATTCGAGGGGCTGAGGCTTTAGGGTCACCCTAGCCCTAAACTGCTAAACTCCTACACCCTAAATTCCTAAACCCTAGACTGCTAAACCCAAAACTCCTACCCCCGAAGCTCCTAAACCCTAAACTCCTACACCCCAAATGTCTACACCCTAAACTCCTAAACCCACCACGCCCCCAAACCCTAAACCTTATGAGCTCCGGATGCCACTTCAAGGTTTTAGGGTGGTTTAGGGGTTTAGGGTTTTAGGCATTAGGGTTTTAGACATTAGGGGTAAACCCTAAACCCTAAACCCTAAGGGCTCTGAGGCTCAGAGGCTTTGGGGGATCCAGGGTTCAGGCATTTAGCTTGACTAGTGCAGGCTTGACCCAAAGGGTCCATGTACCCAATAATTAGGTACTTGGGATTTGGGTAATAGTAATTATAGTACAGGCTTCGGGTAAGTATATGATCATTAGGTACTTGGACCCTTAGGGTGAAGGCCCCATAAAAAAAAAAAAAAAAAA